GCTGTGGCTCAAGTGGTAGAGTGCTAGCCTTGAGCTGAAGAGCTCAGGGATAGCGCCCAAGCCCAGAGTTCAGGCCCCACGACCGGACCCCCCCCCAAAAAAAATAGAATAGATAGTAATGAGAGGATCATTTTCTATATAAGCTAAATCATATAGGAAGTTAATAACTTTCCCACAGAAACCTCTGGAGCCAGAATGTCAATTCAAGGGGTCTAACTCTAGAGTTAGCACTTTTTATTTCAGGAGTATCGGAGGAGTACTGAGGAAAGGAGATGAAATGACTGATAAAAAGAGAAAGAAGAGGGTGGGATTAAAAAAAAGAGAGAGAGAGAAAGAAGACAGGAAGAAAGAATCTGGATCTGGTGCTGACTGCATGAAAAATGGAAATTTCGTCATAGAACAGAAACTGGAAATATGTGAAATTATCTGAGGTTCAGTTAAGCACTTTTTCAAATTAAAATCTTTCTTGGTAAAAGAGAGAAGGTCCCCAGCAGCTAACCTCACCAGCTGAGGCACAAGGCCCTAAAACCAGGGCCCACACTATAAAACAGAAAATAGAATAATATATGGTCAAGACTATCTGCAATACAAATTGGAGAACTCGGAAAAATCAGCATGAAGATCTACTGTGCTTATGGCTAAAACTCACCTCTGAAATTCTCCAAATGGCAGAACAGAGGTAAAAGTAAAATAATCATATATACACATATTAATATTTTTCTTGTATATTAAAAAGTAAAATAATCATATATACATATTAATATTTTCGTGTATATTAAAAATAGTTTTCTTGTATATTTTTCTTGTATATTTGAGGTCTAGCATCAGGAATTGTGTGATGCCAGTTCACCCCACTCATACTCTTTAAATGACTATACTGCAAAAGAATAACATTAATTTCTAATCACATAACAACAAAAAAGAACAAAGTTCTCTACATACATCTGAACGCCACATAGGTATTAAAATAAGGAATATAGAAGAGTCTAGAAAACTAGGCATTGTTGGAACAAATTTCTATGAGAAAGATTAAACTCCTAAAGAAAAAAGGCAGTTAGCTGGACACCAGTGGCTCAAACCTATAATCCTAGCTACTCTCCTGTAATCCTAGACACTCACACACACACACACACACACACTCACACACACACACACACACGAGAGAGAGAGAGAGAGAGAGAGAGAGAGACAGAGACAGAGACAGAGAGAAAGAAAGAGAGAAAGAAAGAAAAATGGAAAGAAAGAAAGAAAAAGAAGAAAAAAGAAAAGAGGAGAAAAGAAAAGAGAAGGTATCTGTTTCTCTGGTAGTCTAACGAGGAGCGGGAAGGAAGGCAATATTGGTAGCTTTTCAGGAACTAACACTGAGGTTGACAGAGCCAATTCTGACTTGAAAACTAGGAGTAAATTTCTGATATGGTGAAAAGAAAGTTTCAGATAGGCAGTCATACCCATCATACTTCACCTTATTCCATTCAGAATGGCATCTAGATAAGCTGCCATTTCTGCTCAAAGTCCACAATACTCAACGACTATAATAACTGACTATTCTAGCCACCACACTGGCCTATACTATATGAGACAGAATCTGAATTATACATTGATTGCCAGAACTTGGCTGTGGAATACTCTATGGAGAAGTTTATTGAAGTGAAAGTTTTTCTAGTCTCCCATAGAGTAGGCTCAAGAGGGCCAGATAAGTAAAATCCATTTGTCCTCGGTGAAGAAGCCAGCTCTACAGAGAAGAGCTAATGAGGAGGAGACCCACCCAAACCTACTTCTACTAAACTTGTAGTAGTCAGAGCTGTGACAGGGATGGCAGCATAACAGAACCAAAGCTGAAAATTCAGGATCACTATTGAGTCTAAAAGAACCATCCTTAATTTGTCAAGGCATACAGAGTATTGGCTGAAGCCAGCAGACCCTAGTCTGCTAAATGAAGTAAGATAAATGAAGTAAGAGGTAAGAAATTAATAAAAACCTGTAGCCAGGTGTCAGCAGCTCAGGCTTCCACTCTACCTACTCCACTCCTACGCAGAAGACCAAGATCTAGGAGAACACAGTTCAAAGCCAGCTCAGATAGAAAAGTGTGGGAGATTCCACCTCTAACTAGAAATATGGTTAGAGGCATGACTCATGACTCAAAGTGGCAGAGTGATACTTGTAAGCAAGAAAGGAGAAAGAAAAAAAAGAAAGAAAGAACACACAAGGAAGGCCCTGAGTTCAGGTTCCAGAATCAGCACAAAAAAGAAAGAAATCAGTACCTGCAAGAGGAGACCCAGAGAAACATCCTAGGGAGTGACCACCACATGAGTTAATGCAAATCTTCTCAGAGCAGTCAGAATCTGGTGGGAGAAGGCCCAGAGTAGATAAGAATGAACATAAGAAAGAAATACTGTGTTTTGGTAACTGAAACACCCTTCTCAGGAGATGGCATCTGCAAAGAACATTCCAAGACAGCAAATCTCTTCTTTGAGGGAAAGATATAGTGACATATATTTTTCAAAATTCCCTTTAGAAATAACATACTCTATACTGTATTTGATTGAAAGAAAAAACTTAATAGCTATCAAAATGTTTAAAATTAGATTAAATTAAAAATTCTTTAAAACTTTAATTTTATAATATAAAATAAAATAAATCCTAACCAAATATTCATGAAACACTAACCATTTCATACTTAAAATAGTCCTTTTTTCAGCAAATATTCATGTGACCTAATTCAATTTACAAAGCCAGGGTGATACTATCAGTAAGAGAAAACATTTTTCAAGGAGTGTTTTAAGACTTTTAGTTTTCCACAGGTAAAAAGTGGTGATTTTACAAAAAGAATGAGAACTATACAACCAAACCAAAATGTAAGATCCAGATCTGATGACAAACAATTGCTGATCTTTATTTCTACAGTTTGTTTTTTTTAATTATACATATAAAGTCATTCTGACATTAGTTAAGAAATTAAAAATTAATCATAAGATTACCAACTAATTTTTAAAGGAAACAATGCATATAATTCTGATTTTACTCCTTAAGAAGACTTACCTAAAAAGATAAATCCATCTGCTTCTGTCTCTGCTACTGAGGGTTTCTTAGGCTCAGGCCGCTTTCGGAAGAAGTTAAACATTGTAGCTTCTGCTGCTATCTGAAACAGACACAAACTTTAAAATGCCTACCTTTTTAGTAAAAAGCCAAATTTAAAATATTACAGCAACTAATCTTAGGAACTGTCCTGGCAACTTAAGACCATGAGCTTCTATATTGACAACTTAAGACCATGAGCTTCTATATTGACAACTTAGGACCATGAGCTTCTATATTGACAACTTAGGACCATGAGCTTCCTATGAACATCCTAAGACAAAGCTAGAAATTAAGGTACATGGACTCACTGTTTAAAATCCTCCATCAGAAAATAATTCAAGAAATCCCTACACTGAAAACCAAAATCGACAGGTAACACTAGAATCTGGAAGGATCTCACCCACTAAACATAACACAAACACTAGTTAGAGGAAAGGAAAGAAGAAAGGAAGAAACATCTGCCCAAGTTTTTTGTCAGGCCCATAAACCTTCATAAAACTAAAGCCACCTGTGTGTGTGTGTGGGGGGGGGGGGAGAAGGAGAAGGATTGGGATTGGGAATGGGGGGGAGGGGGGAGGCTGGGAAGGGATGTGAAGGGTAAACCAAAGGAGGAGGCTGCAATGCTTGGTAAGAAACGTATGCGTTATCCTGCCCATGTAATTGTAACCCCTCTGTACAGTATGTTCACAAATAAAATTAAATTAAATTAAAAAAAAAGGAAAGCCCCAGCTATTACAACCAAAAATGTCTTTGGATACTGCCAAGTGTTCCCTAGTAAGCAAAACTGGCCCTTGTTGAGAACCAAAGCATTAGGTGAAAAGGAATCCTTCAGTATTAACCACTGAGCAAATCTCTCCTAATCTATCAAACTGCACGTATGTCATCCTGATTCTTCTAAATCTGTAGTGCAATAATATATTTTTATGCTTTAAAAAACTTGCATAATTCTACCTGCCAACAACAAACTATTTTACATTTATAAAAATGCTTATTATTAATCAGTACAATACTAACTAATCCATTCAACACTGCAACTCTAAAATTCAGTAAAAATCTGGGGAAAAACTGCACACAACTGAAACAAAAAGCATAAAATAATTATCTTCAGTGAGATTCAACACTGAAACTCTAAAATTAAGTAAAAATCTGGGGGAAAACCGCATACAATTCAAACAAAAGCATAAAACAATTATCTTCAGTGAGATAAACACATCTCAATAATGCCCAAAGGAGAGTAAAGTCATGTGATGTGAAGTCATACCTCTGTACAACCATAGCACAAGGGATTCTAGAATAAATAAAATATGTTACTTAGTATTGGAATTTTCTCTATTTGTTTATTAATTCCTATTTCCGGCTCTCTTTCCTTCTCTTCTTTCTTTCTTTTCTCTTTGGTATTGGAACTTGGGCTTGAAGTCAGGGCCTTATACTCTCATTTGGATACAGTGTTTGAGTTTGACTTCCGGATAGATGGTAATGATGGTTGCACACAATGTGAATGTACATAGTTTGCTGCGTTGTTTGCTTAAAAATGGTTAAATGCTAACTCTTAGGTTATATATATATTATTAAAGTTAATAAAAGTTTAAATTGTGGTAATATAACCCTTACCAAAAGCACTTACACTGGGATACTCCAAGTCAATCTTCATTCTGAATTTAGAATGTGAAACTGATGATTCTCCAACTAGTCTCTCTTATAGCATTACTATTAAGCCTGAACTACTTAGCATGGAAGTCTTGGTTAGCACATAGCTGGATTTGTTATCTTCAGCAACTAGCATAATTCCCATACTAGTTCTCTTACAGTTGTACAAAAAGTCAGTAACAGCCAAAAAAGCTAAAATGTGCATTACTGGTTAACAGAGCAAATCAGATGTTCAAGAAATCACTCTCAGTATCTAAAAATGCTAGACTAAGTATTTTTAAGTGTCTTTTTTTTAGTATGGCCAACCCAAAAAAAGATAAAGAAATTCCACAGAAGCCAAAAGGGAGGAAGATCTACAAATCTACAGGGTATGAGTACCAGAACTAATGTTTTCCCTATGTCCATTGCTGATTTCTAATGGATAAAAGCCTGGGTTTTAATGATCCCTGTCCCACAAGGAAGAGGCAAAAAGCCTGGGGCCCAAACATTGTGGGAAGAAGGAAACATAAGTCCTTTCCTGAGAAATACACTCTGAAACCAAACCTCAAAGAAATCAACAAAAATTCTATGAAACAGGAATTCACAATTCTAAATTACCATGTAAATGAAGAAACAAAAGCCACAGCAATAGTCACTAGAATCAAGAACTTTATGAAATCAGACCCATAAAAACTACAACGAAATATAAATATACATTTTATATTCTGTTACAGATGAAGAAATAGAGATGTGACACATACCAAAACAGAGAGAGATTATGAGTGAGAATTGGTGAGATTTGTATAAAAAATAAAAAAAATATAAAAAGCTCTTAGACATAAAAGTTTTAAATTAGGAAGAGCACTTACAAGGAATTTTTATCACCATTATAATCTATGAAAAATACTTAGAATTGAGGACATAGAATCAAAAGCACTGTAATGAGAAAATAAAGGTCAAGAACGAGTGAGGTCCTTCTTTACATCTAATTGGAATTCCAGAGGAATCAGAGAGAATAGGAAAAAGACAAAACTCAAAGGGATAATATTTGGAAACAATCCAAGAGCAATGAAGACAAGCCTTATCAGCCTCAAGGCACAATATATCTACCAACAAGAAAAATTCATATCAGGCTGCTGTATACCACAATTAAAGAACACTAAAGAGAAATTAAAGGTAATGAATACAAATAAAAGTTAACATAACAAAAGAAAGCAAATACCTCAAGAACAAAATATTACTTCAACATAGTTCTGAGAGAAATGAACTAAAATTCTATACTATGAACAGGTAATACAATTATCTTCTGAGGACTAGAATAGCCAAACTGGCAGAGTTTACTAGGAAAAATCTCACCAAAAGCACTTCTACAGAACAGAGATAACACAAAAAGAAGGAGAGTTTATCCCAGATGTACAAGAAGATATAAAAACCATGAGGGATGGGTAGAAGTACTGAGGTAAAAAAGAGATGGCAAAGAGACTGAGAAGATAAGTGGACTGCAAGATCTTGCTGCTACAGGAGTTTGAGAGAGATGCCAAGGGCTCTAGAGCAAAGGTTTCTGAAATCAGGGCTTTGGAACTGTAGCTGCTTGGATGTTAGCATTCTAAGCAGAGAGCACTATAAGCCTCTGTCTTGAGCACTGACCCGGAAGTAACAAACTTCCAGGTTTCAAAGCTTAAGGCCCAAAGCCTCTAATTCTCCCAGCCTACAGTCATAAGCCTTTGAATTTGGAACCCTGATGTTTGCAAATCTCTAGAAATCAGATCTCTCAATTCTTAGAAACTTTGGAATCTTAGAGGCACTACCACACAAGTTCTGAGCTGTATGTCTCTGGATTTCTTTGAGAATAATCCTTGTGTTTATGATACTTTTACTTACCCAAACAAACCCTTTCTTAATTGAAAGTGTTTCTATTCAGAATAGAACTTTGAGGTTCTAATGTGGGCAAGAAAAATAAGTATATAAGAATTATTAATAAACAAAACTGCAATAACTCATAAACACAAGAATCTCATTGAAAATGATTTTAAATAAGAATTTTAACTGGTATTTCTAAATACTAGCAACAATCAGTTAAAATTTTTAATTAAAGATGATACTATTAATAACTAATAAAAACAAGGTATGTACTCAGGAAAATATCTAACAAGGGGCTGGGAAAGTGGCTCAGTGGTAGAGCACTTGCCTTCCATGCATGAGGCCTGGGTTCAATTCCTCAGCACCACATAAGCAAAAAGAAAAAAGCCAGAAGGGGTGCTGTGGCTCAAGTGGTAGAACGCTAGCCTTGAGCTGAAGAGCTGAGGGACAGCGCCCAGGCCCAGAGTTCAGGCCCCACTACTCGACCCCCCCCAAAAAAGGAATATATCTAGCATAAGAATTAAAATTTTTACACTCTTTAAAAAGACAGCAAGGGTAAAGATTTCTTTTGATTAAGAATAGCAATAGTTGCCATTATTACTCATCCTGAGATAGACCTAATGACTCAGTAAAATTGTAAACAAAATCCCAACAAAGGAACTTAGAAAAGTAAATATAGACCTTACAAAATTAATATAGAATGGCAAAACAAAACAAAACAAAACAAAACAAGACCTTCCTGAAAGTCAGACCTCAAAAATTAGGATAAGGCTATGGATAACATTAAAGAAAATGGGCAGTGGTACAAGGATAGAAAAATAGATCATACAAGTGAAGAGGCAGGAATAGACTCCATACATACCTCTAAACTTAGAGGCAAAAGCTGATAAAGTCAACAAAGGATGAGACAATTGAAATAAAAAGAAAATGCAAGCAAGTACCTATTTAACAACATGGAATACTACATATGAGGACCAAAGTTAAAAAAATTTAGGGAAAAAGAATAACTTTAAAGGTTTGATGCATTAATGCTTTCAATTGACTTCTTAAACTATATTAGACTTAGAAAAATGTAACTATAGGGGGCTAGGAAGGTGGCTCAGTGGTAGACCGCTTGCCTTGCATGCCTGAGGCCCTGGGTTCGATTCCTCAGCACCACATAAGCAAAAAGAAAAAAGCCGGAAGTGGCGCTGTGGCTCAAGTGGTAGAGCACTAGCCTTGAGCTGAAGAGCTGAGGGACAGCGCCCAGGCCCAGAGTTCAGGCCCCACGACCGGACCCAAAAAAAAAAAAAAAAAAGAAAAGAAAAATGTAACTATATTAAAAGCAATAGCAATTTTTAGTTTTTAAAAAAAGAAATTGGAGCTAGACCAAAAATCAATACATTTTGGGGCTGGGAAGGTGGCTCAGTGGTAGAGTGCTTGCCTTGCATGCATGAGGCCCTGGAAAAGAAAAAAGCCGGAAGTGGCGCTGTGGCTCAAGTGGTAGAGCACTAGCCTTGAGCTGAAGAGCTGAGGGACAGTGCTCAGGCCCAGAGTTCAGGCCCCACAACTGGACCAAAAAAAAAAAAAATCAATACATTTTGCTGTATTACCATCCACACTAACATAGTAAGTTCTCAAGTATCAATTAAGAAAAGGACAATCAGCAGGAAAGAAAGAGAAGCATATGGCCAATAGATTTATGAAATAGTGTTTAATCTTATCAGTTATCAGGGGATACTGATTTAGTTTAATTCAGATTGTTAGGATGGAAAAACATCAAGGATTGTCAGGAATGTGGGTCAATTGTAACTAACTCTCCTGTATGTCTAAAAGATAAATTGGTCTATGCATTTGAGTAAATCATTTGCTTTTAGTAGTAATGCTGAAGATTCTCATCCTATGTTCCAGCAATTGTACTGGTATGCATTTGCCAAGCATACAAGGAAGTACAAGAATATCAAAGTGGCTCTGTATACAATAGAAACGAACTGCAATACAATGTCAATAAGAATAAAAAAGCATAAAAAGAATAAACTTCACCTCCATTAATCAACAACCAAAGAAACAATGATACATGATTCCATTCATATAAAGGTCAAAGACTGACAAAGCTAAGCAGTATACCATTTAGAAATGTCTACAAGTGATATAACTGTGGAGACATCTTAAGAAGCTTAGTACAGATAGCAAGGTTAAGTGTTTATTTAAAATAGAAAAGCAAGAAAGAGACAAATGGGAAGTGCAAACCACTAATCCTATTTTCATGTCTTAAGATGAATGAGAGATTCACAATGGTTCACTTAAATTGTCTCAAAAGTACATTATCAGATATATATATATATATATATATATATATATATCTTTTTTTTTTGGTCCGGTCATGGGGCCTGAACTCTGGGCCCGGGCGCTGTCCCTCAGCAATTCAGCTCAAGGCTAGTGCTATACCACTTGAGCCACAGAGCCACTTCCAGCTTTTTTCTTTTTGCTTATGTGGTGCTGAGGAATTGAACCCAGGGCCTCATTCATGCAAGGCAAACGCTCTACCACTGAGCCACCTTCCCAGCCCCAGTATAAACCTTTTTTAGACATCCATTTCATAATAAAATTTAGGGGCAAAAAAAAAAATCCCCCAAACTGAAGTCATTTTTGGTTATTTGGTTTGGTTTAATGTTTCTGAACAATTTTCATACAGTAGATAGATAGGTAGGTAGGTAGGTAGATTAGATAGATAGATGGACAGACAGACATCTCTGGCTGGCCTCACTTCATGATCCTCTTGCCCTAGCCTCCTCACAAAAAGCTGTTTAAACTTTTTTCTTGCTTATCTTTTTTAATGTCTGCTTAAAAGTGCTGTTTTAACTGTAATAAAAAGATGTAAACATCTAGTCTTCAGGCTGTTTTTTAAAGTAATTATTACATTAAAAATATGCCTCCTACCATGTATAATACACATCAAATTTCTTCCCAAAACAATGTTGAAGTGCAAACGACTTTAAGCAAAAATAGACGTTATTGACCTGTACCCAACATTTTTTCTTTACACCAAACGAAATACACCCCACATTTCATGACAACATAACTAAGACATATTAATTGTTAAATACTATCATTCAAAGGATTTATCATATTTCAAACATATATATATAATACCTCAAATCATCTTTTATATGAAATCTCAAATTTCTTTGGCTTAAGGTAATTTCAGGACTAAATGGGAGACTCCAGGGAGGTACTTGAATGTGAATCATAACAATTCCTTTGGAAAAAGAATTTGGAGAAAAACAAGACTCGGTTTCCATAAAATGGTTAAGACCCTATTATATATATATATAGAGAGAGAGAGAGAGAGTATTTATATATATATATATATATATATATAAAGAGAGAGAGAGAGAGAGAGGGAGTTGGGTTTGTTGATTGTTTTTAATGAGCACTCATTCGGAAACTTCCTGGACAAGGTAGGTACCAATTCTGGCAGATGAAACCCCCAAAATCAACCCAGCTACACATCCCACGGTCAGCCAGTGTCACATTCGAGAATACTCCCCTCCCCCAATCCTCTCGGAATAGATTCTCTTCCAGCTGTGCCCCTTCAAGAGTGTTGGGGGTAAGAGTAACGGTACAAAGACTGTCCGGGGTTAAAGAAAAAAAGAGTCAGTCCGTTATACCTCCCCAGGAGATCACTTCGTCGGACCCCGTTCGGTGGATAGAGGAGGAGTGCAAGACGTAGCCTTCGCTTGGGTCTCCGGGGCCAACCCGACGCTGCTAACGCCTAGGGTCTGAGAAACCTTATTACGAAGGATCTAGAAAGGATCGTAGGTAGAGCTAGCGACGGAGAAACTGTCAAAGTGGCGCGAGGCGGGGGGAGGGCGAAGAGACGCTCGGCCACAGGCAACTACGGCCTGAAGAAAGTGGTGGAAACCATGCGCCCCGCTTTCCCGCCCTTAGGCGGCCCGAACCCGGCTTCACTCAGCAGCCCACCCCGCGCGCCCCGCGCCCAGCCAGGAAGAGGAGGCGGGGGAACTGTCACAGCTGGTCCGCCCGCGGACCGCCCCGCAGCCGCCGGCGCCCGACTCCCGCCGCGGCCCTGACAATCAGTCCGCAGGGAGAAAATGAAGCGGTGAAATAGCGGCGACTCCCGCGAGAAGAGGTACCTGGGGTTCGCGCCTCCGTCCGCCGCCACACTGGCACCCGAGTCCAACGCCCGACTTCCGGGGTCACGGCCTCCTCAGAGACACCCAAAATCCCGGCAGAGTTCAGCCTCAGGCCACGCCCTCCCCACACCCACGTCCCGCCCTCTTCGCCTGATCTGCCTAGCCCCCGTGAAACTTCCGGAAGGCCGCGAGTCACAAAACCGTCACCTCCCACTTCCGGACGCCTCCGAGGGGGCAACGTGAGGTCGGTAGAAGTTTCTCCCTTTTGATTGGTGGAACGGGCACGCCAATCAAGGAAGGCGCCGGGAACTCTATTACCCCGCGGAGTTGCTCTGGTTCTATCAGCTGCTCATCGCCTGCGGGGCACAGCTTTTGGAGCTGTCATGGTGGACCTAATGGAAATGCCCAAGTGGCGCATCAACGCCAGTATGGTACCTCAGTTTATCGACCGGCCAGTCTGCTTCGTAGGACGGCTGGAAAAGGTGGGCGCGCTCCCGGTTTCCCTCCCCTCCCCCCGGATTGTAGCCGGTGTGGGGGCCCCGGTGACCTGAAGTAGACGATGGGGGGTGAAGGACGGAGAGGAGAGCCTCAGAGCGGCTTTGCCCTCCCGGTTGGCTTTATTTTGTCCAAGGAGAGTTTCCCCATACCTCAGTGGTTGCGGCCGTATTTTCGCGCCTTTTTTATAGCACAGAAAAGTGTTCTCGAATGTTCTGGAGTCTGAAGTTCCAGTGTCCCTCGCCCGTTCTGTTTAGCTAAAGGGAATTGTACCGCTGACTCCCCCATGTATAACCTTCTGCGTTTCTCACCAGCCAGGCTGCTCTTTATTGTCTACAGGCGCCTCTGTTCTCAGACCTCGTTCTCTCGTATTTACGTCTCCTGAAAACATTTCTGCATCATCCCTTCCAGAACTTGTAACTACCTATTTTGCCCCAGACCCCCTCATCCTACTGATGAGAAACAGGCCAAAGCCTCAACTCAAAATCAGTGATTGAGAAAGCCAAGAGAAAGAAAATCATTTATAAAGACTCACTTAGTAACTCTACCACACATCCCCCACAGGGAATGAATGTTATTCCCACTCCACATAGGAAGACTGAGCCAGAGTGTGGTAGTTAACTAAAATGCTCCACTACAGCAAAGAGCAAAGGTGGCATGCAAACCACTGCTGCTTGCAACTGCCTCCCTGGAACAGAACCCAAATCCTGGAGCAGCCACTTATTGTACTCCATCATTTTTAAAACATTCCCTCAAGGAGCTATGTACTACCTAAATCATAAGGGCCAGGACATTCCCACTATTGAATAGTTTGGGCCTCCTTTGATTTGTTTTTATAATAGGGTGATTTGAACCAAATAAACGGTTGGGAAAACAATTGCTTTATTCCAAACTAAAGTAAATTAGGGTCAATCTGCTCAGCTTAGGTCACGTTTTGAAACTTTTAAAGGTTCATGTGGGGTTTTTTGTTTTTTGTTTGTTTTACAAAATTATGTTTTCTTTTTTAGATTCATCCTTCTGGAAAAATGTTTATTCTGTCAGATGGAGAAGGGAAAACTGGAAACATTGAGTTGATGGAGCCAGTATGTTTAAGTATTAGGTCTCTTTATCTTGTTTTGCATATTTCTGATTTTTGGAGAGAATATATATAGGATGTGCTTGTAAAACTTAAATGAACTTTAAAATTAAGTCATATATATCTCATATTTCTTTTTATATTTCTTAACCAATGATTCTGTGGGCTCCATGATTATTAATGTATCCCTTAAGTGGTTGGACGGACAAAAATCTTCATCCTTATGTAGAAAAATTACATGAGAAAAATCCTTTCATATTACTCCTTCCTTCTTCAAGAGTTTTCTATTTTTCTTTTTTTGAGACAGTCTTGATTTGTTATCCAATGGTCTTTTGACTCTTAGGCTCAAAAGATTCTCCTGTTTCAGACTCCTAAGCTGGCACTATAGGTCTATTCTAATACTGTCTTTATTTCCTATTTTTATTTACATGTATTTACACGTCATTTATTTCTGTATTTTATTTTTAATTTGCTGAAAAACATTTTCTTAGTTTTCCATGCAGACAATTCCATATGCTATTTGGTAAACAGATTTATACATGTTGTCATTCTCAAGAGTCCTTAAAAACTAATTACTTCCAGGAGCCAGTGGCTCACACCTATAATCCTAGCTACTCAGATCTGAGGATTATAGTTCAAAGACAGCTTGGACAAGAAAGCTGTAGTAGAGTGCTATCCTAGAGCAAAAAAAGTTCTAGGACAGTGGCCCAGGCCTTCAGTTCAAGCTCTATGATGAACACCAAAAAAAATAATAATAAACTGCTTACAGAAATCCCCATTCTCCCCGGTAGTTGGTGGCTCACACCTGTAATCCTAGCTACTCTGGAGGCTGAGATCTGAGGATCAAAGTTCAAAGTCGGCCCAGGGCAGGGAAGTCCATGAGACTCTTATCTCCAATTAACCACCAGAAAACCAGAAGTGACACTGTGGCTCAAGTGGTAGAATGCTCACCTTGAGCTGAAGAGCTCAGGGACAGTGCCCAGGCCCAGAGTTCAAGCCCCACAACTGACAAAAAAGAAAAGAAAGAAAGAAATTCCCAGTTCATTTGAGTTGAGTTTTAGCTTAAATGTTTAACTGATACTTTGGACTGGAAGCTACTAGGAAAAAAGTCACAAGACTTTCCAGTTGCAAGTGGTTCATTCCTGATAACATTCCCACAGAAAAATGCATGAGATTCTCTCTCCATTTAAATAGTTAAAATCCAGACTGAAGGCATCAGTCTAGTCAAGTCCCAGTCATGAACAGGAAAGCTGAGAGAGAACATGAGGCTATGAGTTTAACCCCTGGTACTGGCGCAAACACACACACACACACACACACATAGGTAACACGATTTATATAGTCTATCAGATAAGTAATGAGCTTTTCTTTTCTTTCTTTCTTTAAAGGTACTGGGGTTTGAACTTGAGGGTTCACCAGCTAAGGTGTTCAACAGCTAAGCCACTCTTCTCTCTTTTATTTTTGAGTAGGACCTTGCTTCTTGCCCAGGCAGCATTTGGACCGCAATCTGCCTGTTTTACTTCACGTATTTCCATGTTTAAGGAAGATAGGTACAAGGCTCTCTACCCAGTTACAGGTTAGAAAGGGTTCTTGTAAACTTTTCTGCTAGGACAGGCCTTGAACAACAATCCTTCTGCCCTCATTCTCCTAAGACATGAACTTCTAGCTCCCTATGAGACCCACTGTCTTCCAGAGTAGAATTGTATAACAAATTTTGTATTGTCAAATCTTAAAGTTACTTTTTTCCCATGGAAATTGGGTAAAGTGAAACCATTTGAAAGATGTGTCATTTTCCAAATTCTAAAAATAAGATAATAAATTGACATTTTGTTCAATGTTTTAGCTTACTGAAGAAATCTCTGGAGTCTTGGAAGTAGTTGGAAGAGTAACCCCCAAGGCAACAATCATGTGTGCATCTTTCATCCAGTTTAAAGAGGATATTCTTCCTTTTGGTAAGCAAATCTTTCTGGTATTTAGTGATTTTATGTCATTATGAGAACAATGGTTTTATTAATTTGGTATGTATTGGTCTTAACACTCAGTCTACCCATATTTTTCACTTTCTATAGAGGTTTCCAATCCCAAAGAAATAATTGGATGATATTTTGTCCTGCTTCTGAAAGGTCTTAGTAGATATAAAGAAAAATGTTTCAAAATAGGATATTAATGATTTTTGTTTTGATACATGAAAGCCTGGGGTAAGGTAATACACATACAGGCAAGTGGATGACCATGTGTTCCCACGTGTCTTCTTTTGGTCTGGGAGCCACAGTAAAATTAAAGTGATGGTTCTTAACTCAGTTATAGAAACTGAATTGTGAAAATAAACTCTAAAAGAGAAATAGGTAGAAATCTTCTAGATAATAGATGATGCAGTTTTCCATTGTACATTAAGTGTCTACTTCTATGCTTCTTTCAGATCTTGGACTTTACAACGAAGCTTTGAAAATTATCCATGAGTTTCCTCAGTTTTTTCCAATAGGGGCTATAGAACACTCATGATCTTGATTTGTGTTGTTTTATGATTTCAAGTGAGTTACATTGAAGGGGCTTCATCTTTATGTTTGAAGGAAAGAACTGAGTTTTCATTGTCATGCTTTTGTAAATCTTTCACTTACTGAACTGTAGATACTTTGATCTAAAGTTTGTTTTGATGAAACTAGAAAATTGATTTTTTTTAACCAAGTCATTTTATTAAAAAAAAACTCTTCAATATATGGTCAGATAAGAAGCAAGAACAAAACAGTTGTCTTGAGTTTGTTTCTGTTTTGTTAATAAAGCTTTAAATGGTATATACTACTGTTCATTTCGTATTCTTTCAGTTGTATATTCAACACAAACTCCAAACTTCATAAGTCTTAGATATACCAAGTAAAATCCTGGGTCAGCTATGTTAAGAATTTATTTAACATTTCACAAATTCTAACATGTTAATTATTGCTTTGTTTGTATATACCAACACCAAAGCTTCAACTCGAGGCTCTATATGCTCACTCAGCTTGCTTGCTAAAGGCTAGTTTTCTGGCCATATGAACCACATTTCCAGTGTAGCATTTTACTGACTAATTGACTAACTTTATTGTCCTGAGTAGTTAGGAGTATGGTTGCTTAAACCTCTTGAATTACTATGTACTAGTAAACTGGGTTATGAATTTAGGATCTTGCTTTCTGTTGAATGAATGAATTGTTTCTCTTAGA